ACAAGAGGAAAGTATTACAAAAGCAGCCGTGTGGATAAGTCACAGTCTGTAATGTACTGTATTCTGTGTGCCCACTTCTTTCTTTGAAGGTTGTAAGAGCAAATTGATGGACGTCATCTTCTTTTGAACCTCTCCTGAGAATTCCTGCAGATTCCCATACTTAGACTTGTCTTTTCTGGGGAGTAGGGGGGGTGGCAACATTTTAGAATCACAGCACACAATCTCCATAAAACTATTGAATCTGATAATGATTTTTCAATATTATTCTGTTTGTAGCATGAAATTTTATTTGATTGCTATAGTATTTTCAGAGATGTGCCCCCACAGGAATGTTTGTCTAAGACATTATGGCAGAAACAAATAACAACTCTAATAAGAAAACTGCATGCTTAACAGCTTTTCTGCATTGCATTGCATTGCATTCCTGGAGATACTTGTTATTCAGTATTCTTTCACATTTCTGTTCAAGACACATACATTTTCTATGAAGTTATTTTTTCTGATGATTTTTTTTTCAGTTGGACTGATGACTGCTTCTTAGAATTTGCAAGTTGTGCCACTTGTGTGGTAGTGCTATACTAGCTGTACTCCTGAAATCTGCCACGTCTGTCAATATTAGAGTGGCAACAATACAGTATTGACCTTGGCTGAAGTTGAATGTTACTGTTTTCAAGACCTCAAAGCCACCAGTACTACAACCCTAGAAATGTCTCAAAATACTGTAAGAGGGATGGAGAAATCCCACAACGTGGAATTTGATTACAAGGAAGGTGGGAAGGAGAGGAGACAGGAATAAGAATTATTAAATATTATATCTGAAAGGGGATATTATGTCTATGTATATGAGAAATATCCATTATCACTTTAATACTTTTATTATTGCTTTTTTTAAGGTTTTATTTGGGGCACTTCCTATATATCCTTCCAGCTTTATTTCCAAAATTAGAAATACAAGTTTGCTACAAATAAAAATGCAAAAGTCAGATTTTCAGGAAGAGCCAGTTTGGTCTAGTTGTTAAGGCAGCAGGTTAGAAAGCAGGGGATGGTGAGTTCTAGTCCCACCTTAGGCATGAAAGCCGGCTGGGTGACTTTGGGCCAGACACTCCCTCTCAGCCCAACTCACCTCACAGGGTGGCTGATGTGGGGAAAATAGGAGGAGAAAGGAGTATTAAGTATGTTTACCACCTTAAGTTATTTATAAAAATAATAAAGGCAGGATGATTTTTTTTAAAAAAAGCTCTTCCTAGAGAAACAGTAACATGGCTATCTTAAACAACATACTTTGGGTGTCACGAAAGGATAGAAAGTTACTTAATGCATTGTTTTTTGTTTTTGTTTTACTTCCAGAATGAAAAGAGGTGGTTTGGGAACTATACATGTTGATTTGCATGTGTGGGATACAGATTTTCTCCTCTGATTCAGGTGACAAAAACTTGGTCATGATATGATATTCAGCTATAAATATCAACTATAAGAGCTGAAATCCAAGAAAACCGGAAGGTTCTCAACTGGAAAAGGGTGATTGGGTGGCTTTATCTATTTTCAGGGTACATGCTTTCTGCGTACTTTGTCCATAAAGTAAATATATATTCTGTTATTACTCCTAATATCCAATTATTAGTGATAACATAATGGTTTCTAATCTTTGTTGACATAACTTTTACCAATTTCCAGATTGAAATGGGATTGGGTTATTTTCTGCCATAGTAATTTTCTTTGTATTGCCTGAAATATGCTACTGATGGCTTTGTCAGGGTGAAAATTCCCCAAATGCAGGTTGCTTAACCATTTGAAATCATTCTTTTACTTTCTAGTGGACAAAAAACCCGATTTCTATTACACTGAAAATCTAATGAATATCTAATTCTCCACTTAAGATCCTGAAGATACATGTTGCCTGCAATGTGTTCTTCAGAGCAAAGTTTAATTCAGTGGAGCATTGATCATTACGAAGAAGTAGGATTTTTGCAAAGTCATCAACAGTTGATGGACCAGCTTTCCAAAGAGGACACTCATGTATAAGGAGAACCAAGGATACTTAGAATATAAGGTTACACATTGATTAGATAGAAGGTCAAATTTTCCTACCATCTTCAAGGATCCCAAGATCTTACATCCCCACTCCTCCACTTTACCCTCCACTGCAGTGAAATCAGCACTATGACATTCTCTTCAGTAAGAATCTCCGGCAAATCTATCCTACCAAAGTATATTCAGCTATTGCTACAACTGTGTGTGTGTGTGTGTGTGTGTGTGTGTGTGTATAAAAAAAGCTGTCTAGGCCGTACTATTTTCAGGCTTAGCAAGTATAACTGTTCTGCCAATCTGGTTGCTAACATAAGCTTCATTTCACATTGATAGCAAATAATACTTTCCTAAAAAGTCATTCAATCCATCCACAGTGGAATATAACAGCAGCTAACCACATCAATAGAACAGCTGGCTCTTTAGTTGAAGTTTACTTTTCACTATGTATTCTTTCTAAGCCGAAAAAAAAAGAAAATATTCCATTATAATTTGTTTTGTACCATTAATTGTTCTGTCTCTTTTTTCTCCTTCTTTACTTTTGCTTTTCTGAGGCATATTTGTGTATTAAACTCTGATTTCTACATTATTCCACTTGGAATGAACTTTGTTTCTGCCTGGAAGGCTAGGAAAACAGCCAGGAGAAGGGCAAAGTGGAAAATTGATACCATTGTTACCTGCCAAATTATACAAATGTATCCCACTGGATGGCATCACACAGTTGTATCAGCTGTGGGAGAATCCTTTGGGCTGAGCAGATGTGTGTCTGTTTTTCTCAGGCCCACGCCTCTAGAATTAATGGATATGCTGTTCCAGCCATGGCTTTTTCAGATGTTACAAAGCACTTGTTAAAATGACTTACTACTAAAAGGCTATAGGACTGAGGTTGGCATTTTTCCTAGCTTACAACTATTTTTGCTTCGTTTTTATTTATTTATTTTAAATGTGTTTTTAGGAAGAACACCCTGTTGGCCTTATTTATCTGTGAACTCAAATTCACATGTGTACAGATGTACCTGGAAAACATAGCAATATAACAAACTTTTGCTGAGACACAGTGTGCACATAGTAGACTTTACACCTGACAACTAAAACAGAGTTTACTTTAAAATAAAAAACGTTCATGAAAAGAAAATGAGTGTACCATTCTCTAGTACTTGACTGAGTGACTGTTCCTAATCATAATAACAAAACTATGAATAGATGGAGCTAGGATTTATGGTTTTCAAATAAATTGTGGGAAGAGGTTATAATGTAGCACCTTGGGGAGCTAAGCATAGCAAGGAACAAGAAAAGGAACATAAAATACTTCTTGGTTGTGATTATTTGGAAACTACAATGGGAATGTTCTTTATTAACCTTGGGACATAGTGGGGTAATTACGTTAGCTGATACTACATTGAGTTCTTCCATCTCTTTCAGGTCAGCTGATGTAGTGAATGATTAGGAGACCAAATGGTTGGCTAGGGACCCAAGAGCCTTGTAGAATGTAGTTCAGAACTGGAATTTAGAATGGAGAGTTGTAGCAAAAGGGACAGAAGGGAAGAGGAGCAAGGAAACATGAGGGAAGGAAAGAAGAGAAGCTAGTTAAATGTGTGAGAGTGCATGAGAATGAAAATGATTGCATGTGACTCAAGTTCTGCACTTTAATGCCTAAAGCTTCTAAATTCTTCTCTGAAGACCACATTAAACTTTAATGAGACACAACTTCATAGCTTCAAAATGGTGAAAAGTGATATGAATTTGAGTGTATATTCAAGGGTAGGTTCCATTTCTCTTAAAATCTGGTGTGTTCAAAATGAAACAATAGATGCTTTAATGGGAGTACGCTTTCACCAGAAGGTGGATTGTTCAATTTTGGTATAGCATGTGGAGTGTTTCCAGTCCTTGTAGTATGTAAAACATTTGAATCAGAATAATATTTCTCTTCGGACAATGACCATTGCCAAAGCTGTTTCTTAGAGAACATAGCTGGGTGCAGCAGCACTGACACTCCCAGTTTTAGATACGGCTTTATTGCTAGGTTTCATTCCCAAACCAGTCACATCAAAAATGAAATTGAACAATATTCAGCACATAATTAGATCAGATAGGATGGTATATTCTTCCTAAGCAAATGTTCACTTACGAATCTAACTGCTTATAATATATTGGACTGTGTTAACGCTATGAATTAGGGTCATATATTTTAGATACACTTCCTTTTTCATACTTTACCAAGAACTGGCTCTTGGGAACTAGAATATTTCTCTCTTATTTCTAGTTAGATGAATCTCCACTCCTGTTCAATAGGATAATACAACAGTGGCCTGAGTTTGGAAATGATTTGTGAGTAGTTTAAGTAAAAAAGCCTGAGGCATTTAAGTGTATCATTCTCTTGCTGCTCTGTTTCTTGATTTTGAAAGCAGGAGCACAGACTTTGTATGCTTGAGCTACAACACAATAGATATTGAAACTGTTATCTGAACATTGTGATTAAAAAGCCTAAGTCAAAATGAAGTAACTTTCCATTGCAAATATTTGGTGTATGTGTCAGCTTTTTTTTTCTAATTGAAGTGGAACTTTATATTTTGTAAAAGTCAATATAAACTGAGGTGTATTAGTAAATGTTCATATTCCCTACTGGAAGGCCATTCAACTCAACTGCCAAATGGGCCTAGAATTACGAGAGTATGCTGAGGTTAGGTAACTCCAATCTGTTATTAAAAAATGTATACAGTATGTTCTTTCATGGGCTGGCCATTGTTATAGTTCTGCCGCTAAATGAGGTTGTACAATGTGAGATTGTTTTCTGAACACAAGAAAAGAAGTAAAAATGTATTCATTCTTCATCTTCATTTTAGGAACAGTTCCATCAGCAATTTTGTGTAGCTAGTTATGAACTGGTTGTTTATATCTGAATAAGATTCAGTCATCTCTAGTTCCTTTTTCTCCGGATTTCCTATTTTCAACATCTTTTTCCTCTTTAATTGCAGCCAAACCATTTGAAAGTGGACAGTATTTAGACATCTATGGAATTACAAGAGACCAAGCCGGGGAGTACGAATGTATGGCCGAAAATGATGTCTCAGTTCCAGATGTGAAAAATGTAAAAGTCACAGTAAACTGTAAGTCATGAAAATTTAAAAAGATATATCATTAAGGACATTGTGATGTAGAAGCAAAAGGACATAAAAGCAGTTGTCAAGTAATGTTTAAATGTGATGTGAGCTCTGTGTAAAGGTTACACTACGTGAGAACAGCATAGCAGCAGGCTCTGACCACAATTTGTGCATCTTCCTGAGAAGGTCACTGACCATGGGGCTGTACCAGTGGAGACTCTTGTCAGTTCTTACAATACACTTACATTCCATGAGCATGTATTATTCCCAGCCACACATCTCAAAAGGACTTATTTAGAAGGCCTTTCTCATCCATCCAGAGGCTCATTCAACATGCTGACTGGCTGGGCTGCCTATTGATTCACACTACTATTGCTTTCTGTGTATGGAAAAAAGATCTGAGTTACAGGCACGCACCCATGCTGTTCACTCGTTTCAGTCCTTGATAGGAAGATAATAGAATTCCACCATAGATTTCAATAGGTTTCCACAAAAACAAGCCACTACGTGACAGAAAGCCTGAAATGAATGCAGACTGGGAGAACCCCTCATTCCCCACTGAAAAGGTCTCACTGAAATGATATCTTTGGGCCCAATGCACCAAAAAATAACATATTGGAGAAAAAAGTTATGTATGAATAAATGAACTATAAAAAATATATACTACAAGTAAAAAGGTTTTAATCCTAGTTTTTAAATACACATTCTGAAAAGTTATGCAGAAAACTACATTTATTAGGGAAACTCGTGTTATAACATTTTATATACCAAGGAAAGTTGTAAATAACTTTCAATTCAAACTTTCTGGGGATTTTATAATAAATAAAATGATAATAAATAAAACCCTTATGGACTTCATTTAGACTGATATGTATCTCCCTGTTTTCATGCTTTACAAAATTCTGAAATCAATATCTGTTATAGTTTCAGTAATAAAATTGTTTTGAGTTGCTGCATATTAAGATTAGGATTGAGTGGCGAGGGGGGGGGGAAACTATCTCAGCCCAATTTTAAATGATAAGGGTTGTGACAGTGAGGTTTTGGGGAAATGGGGAAAATTTACTGTTATCTTAGTGGCCATTCCTTCTCATACATGTAATGACTTTCAAGTTACACTTGTGTCTATGCACTGTTACACATGCATACACAAAGAATGCTCCATAATGCATAATTTTAACCTACAGCTAGTTTATTATTTCAGGGGAAAAATGGCAGCTATCACCCTAGGAGGAATGAAGTAACACAACCCCAATATCCCTAGTAACGGTATTCCAGAAGCTACATCTGGTCCAGAATGTAGCCGCACAGGCTATTTTTGGAGCTCCAAGAAGGGCCCATGTGACGCTGTTGCTCCATGAGCTGCATTGGGTACCAGTTTGCTTCTGGGTCCAATTCAAGGTGTTTGTTATTACCTTTAAAGCCCTACATGGCATGGGACCAGGTTACCTAAGGGACCGCCTCTTCCCCATGACTTCAACCAATCCCAACCGATCACACAGAGAGAGCATGCTTCAGACCCCCTCAGTAAAAGAACTCCGATTAGCAGGGTCCAGAAGGCGGGCCTTCTCTGCAGCAGCCCCCGCTTTTTGGAATATTCTGCCCCTGGAGGTGAGATTGGCCCCCTCACTCCTGGCCTTCCGGAGGGC